GCCAACTGTCAAAAAATAATAAATAAATAAACTAAACTAAAAAAAAAATGTAGAAGGAATGTGGGAAATGCAAAATCACCACTAGGCAAACCCCACAACAACAGCTATTTCAGTCAAGGTCTAGTGATGGGTGCTACTAAAATCAGTGAGTAAAAGTTTGAGGAGACTCAGGATTTTGTAAAATCTCAAAGTATCCCTCCCAAGATATTTATTAATTACAAAGGGAAAACAGTAACTTTACAGTGGAGAAATCTAGTAGACACCAGTGTAACTAAGTGGTCAAGTTTAACATCACTGGTGATAAGACATATCAACATCACGTACCCACTGGTAGGATACCCTGAGGACACATCACTTCTATGATATTCTTACCAAAAGTGCATAGCTCAACCGAATCTTGAGAAAAATCACATAAGCTCAAACGGAAGGATATCAAAATAAGCCGTAAAAAATGTCAAAGTGATGAAAGATAAGGAAAGACAGAAGAATGAGACATGACAACCAAATACAATGTGGGATTCTAGATTGGATCCTAAAACAGAAAAAGAACATTAAAGGAAAAACTGGTTAAATTCAAACAAGGTCTGTAGTTTCGTTAATACTATTATAACCAATGTTAATTTCCCGGTTTTGATAAATGGATTATGTGTATTTAAATTGTTAACATCAGGGGAGGCTAGGTGAAGGGTATATGTGAATTTTCTGTACTATTTTCACAACTTTTTTCTAAATCAAAAGATATTTAAAAACAAACGTAAAAAAATAAATTGATTCTTGGTAACTGCACAGGATGAATAAATAGGACTTCACAAACAGCCCCTGAGAAAGGAAACTGCCTTATGCATGTATATACACACAGAAGAATGCACTCATGCAAGTCCCAACTCAGACATCAGATTCCTACCTCCTGGTATTCAGGCATTTCTATAGTTAAACATGTCATCCTTGAGTTCCTGGCTGACCTTGTCCTCCTGTGGAGGGGTGAGAGGGACAGTTCAGGCAGGCTTCTCTGACACCGAGGGTATGCCCAATGGGAGATCCTGGCACAAGGGTGTAAGGCAAAGACACAATCTGAAGATAGTCCCTCTACCTGTGTTGTGCTAGCTGGGATTCAGAGGACCTGCTCTGGGCCCTGGGCTTGACCCTGTGGGGGAGTTGAAGCCATTTTTTCCACTGGCACTGGCCAGGTCAGCATGGGTTTAGATCTATACCCTGTTCTCCAAACCCTAAAACTGCCACTGTAGGGAGAGGGGTTCAGCTTCCAGCAAGTCTCATCATCTATTATACTGGATGCCACCTGGACCTTAGCACAGCTCCCAAAATGCCCATGGCACCCAGCCAGAGGTGAAGGTAAGGAGGATGATGAGGTGCTGCCCTTACCATTCCTCACCACCCACCTATGATGCCAATTTGCTGGTACCAGACTCTGTGCTGGCCACCACGTGATGTAGCATGGGACGTGATCTCAACGACTTAGATGAGGTGGGCATTTTTATTATCCCCATTTAATAAATTGTGATAACATATACATAATATAAAATTTACTATCTTAACCATTTGTAAGAGTACAGTTCAGTAGAGTTCACGTTGTTGTGCAATCAATCTCCAGAACTCTTTTTATCTTACATAACTGAAACTCCATCTCTATACCCATTAAACAACAACTCCCTGTTCCCCTTTCTTCTGGCCCCTGGTAACCACCATCTACTTTCTGTTTCTATGAGTGTAACTACTCTTCATAATTCATATAAGTGAAATTATACAATATTTGCCTTTTGTAACTGGCTTATTTCGCTAAGCATAATGTCCTAAGGTTTATCCATGTTGTAGCATGTGTCAGAATTTCCTTCCTTTTTGGGGCCAGCCCGGTGGCGCACTGCTACAGTGCGCCGCTTGGGAGCGCGGCGGCACTCCTGCCGAGGGTTCGG